TGTACTTTCAAACTCCCACGTTAAAACCTCTTCTCCAGGAAGACGCAAGCACGCCGTATTTGGCACTTCATAATTGTAGTGCACACTAGGGTGAAGGAATGGAGATCAATGTTAACGCCCTGCCCCAATAACAGCCGCGTGGATTAACATGAGGCAAGTAGCAAACGCTTATTGAAAATGCTAGGCTAGGTATGATGGAGGGTTTAGGGGGATTCAGAGTGGGTGACCAGTAAAATTTCCAACGGTACCTGCTCGTATCTCAGACTGCCTGACGGACATCTCAGCATGGATGAAAGAACATCACCTACAGCTCAACCTGGCAAAGACAGAGCTTCTTATCTCCCCAGCCACTCAATCAGTACAGCACCAGTTTACCATCCAACTGGGCTCATCAACGATAATCGCTTCGAGTTCGACCAGGAATCTTGGGGTGATCCTTGATGATCAGCTGACCTTTAAAGATCCTATTGCAAAAACAGCACAATCATGCAGGTTCGCACATCGCACTACACAACATCAGGAAGATCAGACCCTTCCTAACAAAGCATGCACCACAGCTTCTCGTACAGGCTCTTGTCACTGATAGGCTGGACTATTGCAATGCGCTTCTGGCTGGATTTCCAACATGTGCAATCAGACCTCTGCAAATGATTCAGAATGCAGCAGCACATCTTGTTTTCAATGAGCCCAAGAGAGCCCACCCTGTTGAAAAAACTGCATATGGTGGTTAGGTATGTTTTGAGGCATGGTAGCTGGTTTGAGCTGGTCCTTAGTTGGTAATGAGCTGGTTTAAACTAGCTCCTGCTCAGGACCAGCTCAAACCAGCTACCATGCTTCAATGCGCACTTCTCGTGTTTATTGCTTGGTGTATTCCTCAACTGTAAGTCGCTTTAGATAAAAGCATCTGCCAAATGAATAAATGTAAATTTCACACCATGGCAATTATCTGTTGATGGAGATGCTGGAACTGATGGCAAGTAACTTTGCAAGTATGCATAATGATCAGCTCATCTCAAGGAACTTAAAGGGACAGTTCAGCCAAAAATGAAAATTGTCATCATTTACACATCCTCAAGTTGTTCCAAACCTGTTATGACAGTCTTTTTCTGTTCAGTACAAAAGATGATATTTTTAAGAATACAGGTAACCAAATAGTTGACGGGAGCAATTGACTTTAATAGTATGGGGAAAAAAATACTATGGAAGTCAATGGCTACTGTCAACTGTTTTATTACCAACATTCTTCAAAATATCTTCTTTTGTGTTGTGAAAGAAACTCATACAGGTTTGGAACAATTTAAAAGTGAGTAAATTATGTTTTTTTTGTGGGTGAACTATCCCTTTAATGGGACATGCAAAAATTTTGAAAATGTGGCTTTCTTTCACTGTTTCCGTAATGGAAAGTAGTCACTAGATTCCACTAGATGATGCCATTATGCTAATTAGCAAATTCATGATTGTGTCATATTTGCATTCTGGCTAGTGTCATCCCTTAACATTTTTTTGCTACTCTTCTACTCTCACATACAGCCAAAATCCCAATGAAATGCTTTTTTTTCCCTTGTGTCTGTTGTCATGAAATGAAATGAATATGAAATAGTGACTAAACGCAGCCCATTAAGACTACATGTTAACCAGCTGTCCCTTTCAAGCTGCTCTGCATTAAAATACTGATTTCTAATCTAGATGTTGTCTCACATAATCACCATACACTTAACAATGGCTGTGCTAAAATTTGGCTGTATTTACAAGTAAAATGTGACTTAGAGAAAGGGTTAGAAGCAACAAAAAGTGCTCTAGGGTCTGATTTAGATAAAGTTGTAATTTGCCAACTAGATATTTTAATTTCATTTTTGTCCATTCAAAGAAAGTCTTTGGGGTCTAATGTTGTTTTGGACACCATTGACTTTTATTACATGGGCTAAAACACTCTTCAAAATACCTTCTTTTATGTTGTCTGTGTATATCATTTACTATTCTTTTAAGATGGCTTACTCACAAATTGCATACATTTGAATAATCATACATTTGCATTTCCTGCCACCAAGGGCATAGGGATGATCTGAAAAGTGGGTGGGACATCATCAGCTTTGGCATGAATATTAATAAGGGGCCATGACATTCAATACAACAGCTTCTTGGTGTCTAAAGCTGTATTTTTTCCATGCCCGGCTATTTATTTTCATTGCACCGCTACCGATTAAAAAGGTTATGATTATTTTCCAAAACATAGTGGAACTGTTCCACCAAAACTGGATTTTTACCCTCTGGGAGCCTAGAAAACAGTCCCCTTTCCTACAGTCATTTAGAACAAAGTTTTCGGTTTCATAATTCACACTGCATTTATCCTTTGGTTTCTAAAAATTTATTTTTACATGTCCGGCTCTTTCCATTGCACTGCTACCAAGCAAAATGTCATGATTATTTACCAAATAATATATTTTTTTGCCTTTAGGAGTCTGGAAAATAGTCCCCCATTCAGTCGAGTTATTGTAACAAAGTTTTTAGCTTGTATTTCATTCAGCAGTTATCATTTAATTTCTAAAGTTGTCTTTTTTTACATGCCTGGCTACAACTTCTTTCCATTGCACCACTACCAAAAAAATGTTATGGTTATTTACCAAAAAGTTGGGGAAACAATCTTTGGGAGTCTAGAAAATAGCCCCTTTTTCTACAGTAATTTAAAACAAAGTTTTCAGTTTGTAATTCACGCTGCAGTTATCATTTGCTAGTAACTTTAACTTCTGAAAGCATGAGTAAACATTGGTATAGCAATGTTATTAGCCCATTTATTTTAGCAAGGAGGCACAATTCCAATTCCCGTCATCTACCCTTGAGATATCATGGCACTCGGTTGTTTATGAGCTCACCCAATCTCCTGCAAAGTGGCAATGTGAGAGATTCGTGCAGATGGCAATGAACTGTGTGCTTTGCCACGATGAGAAGAGAGAAGGATGCAATCTCTGGAATGATGGCGGACTACAGCACTGCCCAATATGCTTCACTTAGGTTAAATTTACAGCCTCTGTGTCTTCCACGTACGGCTCAGGAAGAGAGGCTGTCCACAATTTCTCTCCTCTCTGCTAAATTCTTCCCCTCCCTCCCTCTTACCTGCTCTGAGACGTCCTTGGGAGCAAGCTTACTTTTATATTTCTCCAGAGGTTTTTAAATATACCGCTGTCATTGTTGGTCTGCCAATAATACCCTTTTTACCTGTTTATCTATCACCGGTGACATTGACAAGTGGAGGATCTGCATTTTGTTGTAAAAGCAGACGCCAAGAATATCAGGATTATCAAGATTAATCAAAGGCTTTTCGAGTCTAAGTGATCTACTGGGGAGTCAAATGGGACGTCTGTGCTAGGACAGGACCCCTGGATATTTACATCTGTCTACAAGCAAAACCTAAAATAGATAGAAACAGTAAAAGCATTAGGGCTGGGAATCGCCAGCTATCACAGGACACATATTGTGGTAATGTAAAAAAAAGGTTAATAAAAAAATTTAATATTTTTTTTTAATAAAAATAATAATTAAACGAAATTAAAATAAAATAAATGTTTAAAAATTAAATTAAATTTAGCTTAATTAAATTATAAAATTATATAGGATTATAATTATATTTTATAATTCCCTTATCTGTGCAAAGAATGCCAAAAGACACACTGCATGCTATATATGAAATATAAGTTATTTTTAAATGTTATTATGTGTTAATATTATGTATCTGTAATATTATTTATAAATATATCAATTCATTTTCCTAATTTTTTAAAGTAACAAAGCAACATCAACATCTCCCATGTATTTCTGGAAGGGGCTGAACATCCAGTAAGGTGCATGTCCTCTCCAATCCTTTGGGGAATAAAAACGACACCCTAATAACCTTTCAGCTTCCCCAGGCTCACCTAAATTTGTGTACATTTTAGAGGTCCAATGCTAACAACATTTGCCATCATAGCTTCATGGCAAAAGGCACAAAAGAGGCAATTACTTGCATTGTGAAAATGACTTACACGGTTTAATCACAGAGTGTTAGCAGGCCTCATTTATCAAAACAGGAGACATGTTCCAGTGTGCTGTGCCAGTGAAGATATGTGTGTCACTGAAGCACTGCAGTAACCGTCAGTCCCCCGGGATGAGATCTCACGGGAGGGCACATGTACAGAGCAGCACGCTTTCTCTGCTCAATGAGCAATGTCGACCTTTTCACGAAATGAACAATAAAACTTCTAAATGGCATTTAAAGGCAGTTGAAACCAGAATGAATGGCCGGAAATCTTTCCCACCGCCACATTTTGTCCTTTAACACTTAACAATGTTTTGCAAGGAGATTAAGAAAGTGGCCCCTGGAGGAACACGTTAGAATGAATCACGAACAAGAGAAGCCTTTTCAGAGAGCCCCGCTTTCAAAATCATCACATCTATGTTTCATAAACCTGTGTTAAATGACAGCACCACTGCGTTTTTCCTCGATTGTTCGCCGCAGTCAATGGAGAACGCCTACGAGCGCTTCTGATGAAAGCCGCGCACTGAACTGAGAAACTCAAGGCTAAACACACACTTTAGTTCAAAAGGACACGCCGTTCAATTAGGATCTTGGCAGAATACTCAAGAAAACCATTTTGTTTTTCACTTGAGGTTATCATACCTTGGTTTTTTCATTGTTAATGCACCCCATATGCAGCCTGGCTGCTTTATATTTTATGATTATACAGGCATATACAGTATAGGCAGAACAATTATTATATTTATCCTGAAGAACTGAAAGGAGGGAACTAAATGATTGTTCCTATTCCAATATTATGAATGTAGCAGAGTGAGGTATAGACCCAGTATGATTGGCTGGCATTACTCAAACTGGTGAACCTATCAGGGTTTGTACTTTATCATGATTGGTCAGTTGGGTAAGTTTCATTAGCCAATTAGTGCCTGTTGTGTATATAAAAGGGGGAAGTGTTTAGTTGCTTGGAATGCATGATCCTTGATACCGCCCCTTTGTGATATGTGGCACTTTGAATGTGTGCTAGCAGTTGGGTTATCCTCCTGTCTGTCGTGTGCTGGCTGTTGGCCAGTTTTCAGGTTTGTCCCTGTTTTAAAAATGCCTTTTTGCCTGCTAAATAGAGGCTTATTACCTTGTTTGTTTTTAGATATGGGCCTGCAAGTAGCTGTAATCCTGCGTGGTGAGCGACCATGTGTATTGCAGCATTGTACTGTTTGCTTGGTAGGTATGGGTAGTTTTAAAGTTTGTTTTAAACCAGCTTTTATGCGTAACTTTTGTTCAATGTCCAGCAGGATTGATTGCACGTCCAGGGGTTTCTAATGATCTTAATTGAAGCGTAACGAACCTCAAGTAACTGACTGCACTTCTGCTCTGCTCTACTCCGTTTTGTTCTGTCTGGAATTCATCTGGGTCCGTCTGTTATATTTTGTTTTGTATTGTTTGGTGTGTGGATTTAGGTGGGAGGGGTTGGCCATGGTACCTTTTACTGCGTGTCCACATGGAGTGCTGTGTTTAATATTACTGATTTTTCACGAGTTTTCACGAGTGTGTGTGTCATGGGTATTGAGTGTGGGGTAGAAATCTGAGGGTCTTTGCTGGCCACCTCCCCCTTTATGTTCTCTTATTGTATTGTACTTGTTTTATAAGTTACTGGTAAAGATGTGTGATGTGTTGTATGTGTTTTTATCATGTTGTTTTTAATAAATTGGCAATGAACCTGTGTCCCTTTGTTTAGGGCTGTTATGTCCCGGTGTATTCCGGGTGGCGTAGTCGACTATAGGATTTTTCTTATTGGTAATTTTCAATCTCCTGACCACTTACTGCCACATACATATAAATATTTAATCTTAAATAAGGTGTCTTTGTGATGTGAAAAGTTGTATGTTTGTAAAATAAATTCAGCCAAAATAAGAGTCCACAATCCATAGAAATGCTTCATCCATTGAAAAAGTTCGCCTCCCTGTTGTCCTTTTGCTTATAGTTCACTGTGGCTTCAGTGCATTGATAGCTTCATTATAAGTACATTTCGAATACATTCTTGATCAGGCATGTATGAAATGCATTTAGTCACTTAACATTCTTGTCTTAGTTTTGTGATTAATTTCTGTAAATTTGTAAATGCAAACATTTTTATGATGTTCTGACTGCATTTACTCTTGTACCCAGCAAAGTGAAGTCATGTTTTAATCAGAAGTAACACATTATATTTTAATTACCTGAGCAATGTAAATCTCGACAAACACCACTGCTTGCCTTGTTCTGTCCCGTGTGCAGAGAAAAGAGACAACTGTCACTTCCGTCACAGTCTGAATAATGCATTGAGTGTGGAGTATATGGACACGCTTATTCCTTATTCCAGTGATGTGATCTCTCTTTCTCGCGCACATCACTCAAAGTCAGTCAATCATAAAAAGTGATACTAGAGCACATGAAGAATATTAAAATATCGCTGCACTCTATTGTCACTTGCTCTCAACTGGTTTTGCTTCAAGGAGTAGTTCACCCAAAAATGAAGGTCATCCATTTTTCAGGTCATCCAAGACGCGAGTCTGTTTCTTCATCAAAACGGTTTTGGAGAAATGTAGCATTACATCAGTTGCTCACCAATGGATCCTCTGCAGTGAATGGGTGCCGTCAGAATGAGAGTCCAAACGGCTGATAAAAACATCACAATAATCCACATGATTCCAGGCCATCAATTAACATAATTTGAAGTGAAAGCTGTGTGTTTGTAAACATATCCATCATTAAGACTTTTTAACTTTAAACCATCACTTCTGGTCAAAATACATAATGCTTCCTCCAGTGAAAAAGTCCATTCCTCGTTGTCCTCTCACACCAAAATCCACCTACATATTTGTTTAGGAAACTTTTGGACTGTTTTCACTTGTAAACGGTGCTTGATCTGTGCATATTTCTCTCCTGATTCAGACAAGATGAATTTTCACTGGAGAAAACAGTATTATGAATAGAGGAACAACGGTCTGAAGTTAAAAATGCCTTAATGATGGGTTTGTTTCTTACAAACGTTTTTCACTTCACAAGACGTTAATTGCTAGACTGGAGTCGTGTGGATTACTTGTGGATTATTGTGATGCTTTTATCAGCTGTTTGGACTCTCATTCTGACGGCACCCATTCACTGCAAAGCATCCAAATCTTTACTTCTGGGTGAACTATCCCTTTATGGACTTCATATGAACATATGTGACTTTATAAACAAACACAAATGATGTTTTACCAGTCATATCAAACTAAAACAATGTAATTCTAACAGCCAGATTGTCACGATTTGGCTGCTCATCGTTGATGACATCATTTCCTGTTGACCAACTCCATAGACAAGCAGTTGCCATGGACACAAGAGACAAAAATACAGTTTCTGTGTCTTCCCTGTGAGTCAGAGGTGAGCATCTGGGGTAAACAGTTCTAATAGAAAAGCATCTTTGCAACTGATTGGGATCCGTCTGTGCTTCCAAGAACAGTGTGATACTGATATCCTGAACCCACACCATTTTCTAAAAGCCCTCCTGAGCTTACCAAACTAAATGAAGTTAGTTAGGCTACAGATTAAAACAATGCAATAACATCTTACTGTGATAACAGCTGCCTCTTGCCACAAAGTTGGACACTTTTTCTAGGTGTTCAGTTCGCACAGAAAATGAGGCGCACACAAACATGACATGCAACTGACTGTAAGCAATGAATAAAACATATGGAGTAAGAAAAACTTAGGAAGGTAAATAATTTTCTCAGATTAGCATGATGGAAACCACACAGTGTCAGATTAATGCAGCAGCAAAAACAGTAATGTTATTACTTGGCAGCGAGCGCCGTGCCACAAATCTCAATCAAATACACACCCAAAGCAGCAGATCTCAAACGGCGCATTGATATGCGTTTATGTTCAGATGGATAAATGCACTAGCAGAGGAAACAAACGAGAAGAAACATTGCATTAGCTGGCTATTGAATTATGGCTTTCGAGGTGACAGAACAGGAACGATGCACTGCAAACTCATACATTGTTTTCATTCTTTCATTACACACAAATATACTCTACTTTCCCAGGTTCAATATTTTTGCACATCACACTAGCACGGATGAGTTGAAGGACAGGAAAGTTGTGGCTCACAGTTTAGAATTGCATGGAAAAATTAAATAGTTTGAATACTTTACCATTGCAATATGCCCAAAGAAAGCCAACTAAAGCTAACACATGAGTCATTTCACCTGGAGTGTGAGCGCTACGCAGTCCCAAGGTGCATCACTCACTGATTAGCTGCCCGCTGTTGAAAATGTATGTCTTGTGATCAGTCATCTTCCTCCTAGCACTCTGATTTTCCTTATCCTCTGCTTTGGCATGCTCAACAAAGCCTGTTGTGGCACTGCGCAGCACTGAGGAGTAGAGATGTGCAATGCTGTGACAATATTAAACCATGACCACATCAAAGACAAATACAAAGCCATGACTCAAAAAACATGACAAAGACACCTATACTAACCCATCTACAATTCTGATGTTATTTTACATACAACTCCAGGCTTTATACTCTTTTGAATATTCCAAGAAAGGTTAAGCATATCGAACAAATTATTGTCTGACATCTGTATTTAAATACACATCTGACAACATCAAATCAATAAAATATATTTATTAATGCATAATTACTACACAAGTACATAAGTATATAAAATTGGGTTACACTTTATTTTAAGGTGTCCTTGTTGCAGCGTAATTATACATTTAAGTACTGAGCAATATAAGTTAACTACATGTACTTACTATATGGTTAGGGTTAGGATTAGGGTTTGGCTGGGTTACTTGCATGTAATTATGCATAATTAATTGTTATTATAATAGTAAGTACATGTAACATGTGTACCAAGGACACCTTAAAATAAAGTGTTACCTAAAATTGTACATATTTGTACTAAATAAATGTATTTATAATAATAATAATAATAAATATATATTATATTTCACACGGCCGTTTGTTGATGAAACATTACTCATTGATTTTTACTAAAGTGCTTGTTATTTTGCAAATCTGTGGTAGCGGCCAGACAGGAAAATTTGTCTTTGGAAATGACAAATGATAGATACAACAAATTAAATCCAAAATAAAAACCAGCGACAGGAAGAATGAAATGAATGACAGACTATCCAAATTTTCATAAAATAAATGTTTTTTTTTAGGAAGTTGTAAAATAACATATTTCAAGAGTGTAACCACATATTTGGGGTCAGGAAGATTTGTTTACTAATATTTGTTTGTTAAAAATGAATACATTTATTTAGCAAGGACGCATTAAATTGATCAAAAGTTACTGACATTTAAAGGCATTTATAGTGTTACCACAAATTACTATTTCAAATGAACGCTGTTCTTTCTGTTCATTAAAGAATCCTGAAAATCATGGTTTCCACAAAAATATTAAGCACCACAACTGTTTTCAACATTTTCAACAATAATCAGAAATATTTCTTTATCACCAAATCAGCATATTAGAATGATTTCTGAAGGATCATGTAACACTGAAGCAGGAGAAATGATGCTAAAAATTCAGCTTTACCATCACAGAAATAAAAATTTTGAACATTACAATAGAACACCACTACTTTAAATAGCAATATTTCACAGTTTTACTCTATTTTAGATTTTTTTTTAAATGCAGCTTTGGTGATAGAATAGTGTGGAAATAAAAACAAAAATTATAAGAATGAAGATATGTAGATGTAAAATAATAAACAAAAATTTTAGAATAAATTAAAAATAATATATGTAATGAATAATAGATTTAAAAGAATACATGTAAAAATTTATAAATATAAACAAATAAATATAAAAATATTTAAAATAAATAAATAAATGAAATGATTACTTTGTTTTTGATCAAATAAATGCAGCCTTTGTGAGCATAAGAGACTACAAAAACAAAAATAATTTTTTTGAAAAAAAAAAAACGACCCCAAACTTTGTGTAACATGTGTACCAAGGACACCTTAAAATAAAGTGTTACCTAAAATTGTACATATTTGTACTAAATAAATGTATTTATAATAATAATAATAATAAATATATATTATATTTCACACGGCCGTTTGTTGATGAAACATTACTCATTGATTTTTACTAAAGTGCTTGTTATTTTGCAAATCTGTGGTAGCGGCCAGACAGGAAAATTTGTCTTTGGAAATGACAAATGATAGATACAACAAATTAAATCCAAAATAAAAACCAGCGACAGGAAGAATGAAATGAATGACAGACTATCCAAATTTTCATAAAATAAATGTTTTTTTTTAGGAAGTTGTAAAATAACATATTTCAAGAGTGTAACCACATATTTGGGGTCAGGAAGATTTGTTTACTAATATTTGTTTGTTAAAAATGAATACATTTATTTAGCAAGGACGCATTAAATTGATCAAAAGTTACTGACATTTAAAGGCATTTATAGTGTTACCACAAAT